TCAATTCATTCAACATTATCTAACGAAACAGAAAAGAAAAACATGATGTGAAAAAAGAAAAACTTATTCAGATCACATTGTTTTTTACAACAACGGCCGGAAGATATAAGAGATCATTATAGTTTTGTTTTTCTTCAAAAAGATAATATCTGACAGAAAGATAATACTACAGACTAAAAAACAAACAAATATATGATGAATGAATTAAATTGAGTCGTGAATAATCATATTATTACAAAAAAAAAGAGAAAGAACAAGAGGAAAGCAAAAAGGCCATTTTTTTATTTACACACTACTTTCATGAAGTATTATCTGATTTGTATCAATAGGACCATTTGGATAATCATGAGAATATGTTGATGATGATGATGAAGATGATGATGATGATGATAATGTTCGTGAACGATCTTTTCGTGATATTATAGGTGATGTTGTATTTGATGATGTTGCTGTATCACATGTAGATGATTTAAGTGAAACACTACCTTCATCATCTTCATCAATATATGCAACATGTGGAAGATGACCATTAACTGGTTTTTTCCAAATAGATGGTTTTTCTTTTGTTGAAGATTCTTGTTGAATTAAATGAGAATTTTTATTTAAATAAACATAAGTTGCTTGACGTTCTTCAGTTGATGGTGATGGCATAACACGATAGGAATTACGACCACCACTATTTTGTTCAGCTACTGGACTTATTCGACCATTTGATGTTGTTGTTGTTGGTGTTGTCATTGTTGATGAAGGATTTGAATATATTTTATTAATATTTGGAGACGAAAGACGTATAATTGGTAATGGACGAATAATTGCTTGTGATGGAGATAATTGTGGACGAGGTGAAAGAGATAATGTAGATGGACGAATGAATGTACGAGGAGATGCAACAGATGGTAAATTATACTAAATATAGAAAATAATATTTAATTCGCATGAAAAAATATTTAACAACACTTACTCGTGTATTGCCATTTTGAATTAAAGGAGACATTTTTGGACTATGAATTAAATTTTTAGGTGAGGTTGCATAATGTGGATTCGATTGTATTTGTTGCTTATCAATATATGTAGGAGATCTAAGAAAACAAAAGACAATAGATAATGTATTAATGCTTAATCAGACTCAAAAACAGAAGAAAGCTCAACAATTTGACAACATAGAAGCAATGTTTTATCTAGGTTTTATTTTTTTGATGGGCGGCATTCGTCCAGCGCCCACCCGGACCATCTCAAAATATACAGCTACGATTTTTGCCGGTGGGCGCCCCCCCCCCCCCTCTTTTAACAAGTATATTTGAACTTAGAAAGCAGTAGAAGTACAATAGAGAAAAAATTATTTTTAAGACTTACTCTTGTTGAATAGCATTTAATGTTGAATGAGGAATTGATTCATTTTGTTGTAAACTTATTTCACTACTTGATGTATTTGTTTTAAGTATATGTCGATGACGTGCATAATATTTTGATGCAATAGTTGCTTGATGTTTTGAACCAAATGTCTGACCATTTGTTAATGCTGCTATTTCATTATTTTGTGTTAATTGACTTTGATATAGACTTGATGAATAATGTGAATGTGGTGGTGATGGTGGTGGTATTTGTTCGGTAAATGATTCATCACCACTTAAATTTTGATTTAATATGATTTTTTCATCATCATTTTCTTTTGATGATATTATCATTGGATGTGATGGTGATAATTGAGGTGTTTGCGGTGGCGGTGGTGGTTCACTATATGATTGATTTAATAAACGTTTTTTTCTTTCGATTTGGACAACAATTATAATATTGACAATGCATTGTTAAATCAGAACGTGTTAAGATATAAAATGCCAATGTATAAAATGCTAATAATAAAACAAATATTCCATATAAATGATTATAAATTGAATGTTCAAATGGTATATTATAGGATTGTAATGGATGTATATAAATTGCTATACATGATAGAAAAATAAAAATCAGTAGAAATAATTGAAATAATATCGATATTAATTGATTTGATGGTTGATGTTGATGATCCATATCGGATGAACATAAACTATCTAAATGTGATTGACGACAATCCATATGTGCTAATCCTTGTTCAATATTAAGATTATTTGATGGAATTATAATTGGTAATGTTTCATTTGGTTTTGATGATAAATTATTTTCATCATTATCATTATCATTAGTTGTTTCTGGTTCAATTTCTGTTTCATCTGGTATATTACGTAAACGTATTGCTTCTTTAGTTAAACGTTTTAGATTAATACGAGCAGCCAATACAAATATAAGTAAAAGGAAGATAAAGATTGCAATTGGAATAAATAAAGCAAGAAGTGATTCGAAATTATTTAGAAAACAACTAAAAAATAAAAAAATGTATCTTATTGAAATTGTCAAGCAAAACAGAACTATGAATCGTTTTTGTGGAGTTTAAAAAAATCTATAAACTATGTCCCACTTCTTAACTCTCGGTTACCGTCCTCATTTTATCACTTGAACAGTATCCTGGGGTCTACGCAGACCCACCTCGTAAAAGTTACAGAAAATGATGATTTTGCTTTACGTAAGGTACCTCTTTTCTCTACAGACTTATTTATCGCTTGTTAGAGAGACAATATAAGAACGCACGATGCGAGGAAAAACAAATTGACTCATACTAGTTTTTATCAAAGCGTAGTGATAATTTAGCAATTTACAAAGAAAATGTGAGAGGTGAACGTGCAAGCGAATCAGAACGTATTTAATTTGAAAATAAATCGATACGCAACAGGTGGCAGTTATAGAAAAGCGAAAAATCATATCTAAATCATCATTAGTGTCTTGGGATCCGCGTGGATCTATATCCGCATTTTTTCTGTCTTAGATACGCGCATGATTTTTCATATGGATATTATACATCTACTAATGACTAGAGATTACATGAAACAAATGACTCAAAACAGTAAATAGTTATGTAGTGCGAGACGAAAATCTGTAAAGTGGCTCCAAGCGGACTCCACTGCAGTAACCGAGGGTTAAAGACATAGGTTACTTCGAATAAAACTACTCATTTCGAATGGTATATTTACATTTTATTTGTTATATATTGATCACGTGATATAGCGACGTTAATTCCACAAATAATAAATGATATACCATATGCTAGTAAATAAAATTGTATAATTGGTTTTGCTTTTAATTTCATTATTGGTAAACCATCATCATCATAATCAACAATAGTTACGGAAGATTTTCTCTTTGGATTATCATTCATTTCATCATCATCTTCATGACCTTTACCTGACCATATATAATATAATTTTTGCCAAATGCAACTAAAGGATAAAATGAGGTTTTCGAATAAGGTGACAAATTAACTTACTATGCTAATAATGTTAACCAAAGTATTGTTGTTAAACAAAGATAATGAAGAGTAATGGCAATAAATTGACAAAAGAATAAATATTGACTTTGTCGTATACCAAAAGCAAATAATGGTAATAAAATAGCTAAACTAAGCCAATAATTAATTAAACAATGAAAAAAACTTCTTGGCATTAAATAAACTCTAAAGAACAAACAAAAAAAAAGAAAGATTTGATATTTATATTCATTTAAATATAAAACATACTTATGACAGCAAATATAAAAAAATATACAAATAAAAAAGCAAATTGATGCTATAATTGATGAAACATATATAGCTAATTCTAAATAATTTGTATTTAAAAATAAACTTTTATTGCCATCGAAATTATTTAAATATGTTATTGATAAAGAAGTATTTTCAGTTAAAATACAATCAGTTGAAATTAAATCAATATTCTAAAATAAATAAATGAATTAACTTTCATTCAGATTATAAATATATATATACTTGTTGATCAATTTTACAAGTAGATGATTTCATTTGCCAAGCTGTTTTATCTGTATTCCATATTCCAATTGATGCTTGATTAGATTCACCAAAAAATGTTAATTTTACAGGAGAAATCTTAATCGACGTTACTAGAAATAGAAATTTTGAATAGTAAGTAATTGTTCACTTAAACAAATCAAGTGGGTTTCATCTATATAACTTATAACAGTACAAAGTGGGTTATATAATGTATGCTCCACTTTCACACATCGTCTCTTGATCAAGTAAAGTTATACGATTGTAACGAAATTTTTTTGTCATATTCAATGAATTGTTTTATGTATTAACTTTGAAGTGAATTCAATGATCAACAAACAGAGCTTATGGATTAGAAAAATTGCACATTATCAAATTTGCCTTTGAGATATTCATACTGTGTGCAAATCATTAATTGAAATAAAAGTCTCTTATTTTAGTAAAACATAAGCATGAGACAGGTAACGCTTAGTATGTCATAAAAAAGGCAGAATAACATGTATTAATGCACAATAACCTTTAAACTACAAGGGATTAGTAATCATGTGCAAAATAAAATTCGCAATTAAAATCATAGTAAATGGCGGCAACGATGAGCGCAATCGAAACCTTTCCGCACGGTTGAGAGGTCGCGTTTCGGATGATAGGCTCAAGTATCAATACTCAGCAGCGAACGAGCTGAAATCCACTAACAGAACTTCATTTATCGTGTACTCAAAAAGTCAGCACACTACTAGAATCGATCAGTGTGTCCGTCCGTTTACATGATAACTTTCGAAAGGAGAGGTAGATTTTGATGAAACTTTCGTCGCAATTCAGTCTCATCAAGATCTCGGTCGAGTTCGAAGATGGGCCGGGCCATTCCCGAGTTATTGAAAAAATACTGATATATTCCTATGATTTCCATATACACTTTTTGATCTTTACCCTAAACTGAAAGGTAAGGGTAGCAAATCTATCTATCTAGTATGTAACGTGAATCCATATGCCCAATATTTTCTCAAAATGTTTTTTTACCTGGTTTTAAATAAATAACAGGATTATTATTTATTTTCATATTCGTTGTAAATAATGTTGCTTGTCGATAGAATATTATCTTAAATGTTGATGAATGATTATGACTTGTATTTGCTGGTAGTGGAAATTCGATTGTTGCTAATTTTGACTAGACAAAAAAAACGAAAAATAGAATATCTTTTATTATTAATTAACAAACCTCATGACGTTTAAAATGTCGATTAATAATTCCACAAATAATTGTTAATAAAGGTCGATTTGGTATAAAACATATTGTTGGTGGTAATGGTGATTCTAATGTCATCGCTGTTAATTGTTTCCCAACATAAACCCATGAATGATTTGTTCGATATAATAATTCTTCTAATATAAATCTTAATCTATTTAATGCTAATTGATATTGTTTTATTTGTATAAAATCTTGTTGAATTTGTAAAATAAAATCTGTTAAACGATAAATTAACATTGAAATTTCTTCAATATTTTTTCTTGTATATAAAGTTTTATTTTGTTCTTCATCAATTAAATCAATTAAAAAAATAATATCATCAAATTGAATATCTTGTAAATTTTGTTTCGATACATATGTTACTAATTTCGCCAAGATATTCGTTTGATTTTTCGATAATAAACGATCAAATTCTCTTGATATATTTGTACGAAATGCACATTGTGATAAATCTAAATCCATCCATTGTCGATTGATTGAACATATATAAGATGCTTGAGCAAAATTATCATACCATGCTGCTGAACCAAATGGACATTTTAATTGTATTTTTTGACCAGTTAATGTTCGTGGCCAATAAAAATATCCTTTTGATGTATCCATTTGTATTGATTGACAAAAATGATTTAATTGAAGATTTAAAACATGTAATGATATTGAACGATTTTGATTTAAACTATGACATGTATATAAACCCGAATGATTTAATTGTAAAAATGGTATAAATATTGTTGAATTTGATGAATAATATTGATGATTAAATGTCCAAAAAGTTTTTGTATTCGATAAACAATTCAATGTAAATGAATCATTTTCATAGACGACTTGTGATTGTTCAGGTGTAATTGTAAGAAAATTTTTTTTATTTAAACAAAAATCTTTTTCAGGACAATTGATTTTCTTTCGGAGATTTATTGTTTCAAACCATTTAATGATCCATTTTAATTGACATGTACAATTTAATGGATTATTCGATAGATCAAGATTAATATTCGATATTTCATTGAATGTTTTCGGTATTGTTGTTAATGAATTATTTTGAAGATATAATGATGATAATTGTGGAAATTTTGAAAATAAATTTGATGGTAAGGAATTTAATTTGTTATAGGATAGATCAAGTATTTGAAGATTATTTAAATTAGTTAAAGAATTTATTGATGTAAAAGAATTTAATGAAAGATTTAAAATTGTAGTTGATTGAGGAAATTGTATATCAAGATTAGGAAAGAAATCATCAGTTAATTGATGATTTATACATGATATTATTGTTAAATCTGATGAACATATACAAGATTTTATTGATGGACATTGATCAGTTAAAGAATATTGAATAAGATAAAATATTAATAATAGATAGAACGATAACATTATGTTAATAACAATGAATATGAAATGTGTTGACCGATGTTAAAGTCAATGAACGAATGAACAACACTTGTTCCTTGCTTTTTCTTTCCTTCGTCTCAATGGATATATATTGAACAAAAAAAATATATATACATATATCGACATGTACATTCATTCATTCATTCATTCATCCTTTCTCTGTATTGTACATTGGGTTATATGATTAAGTGATTTTTATTACTGGATATTGCGAATAAGCTTGATTAGATGGAAATTATTTTTCATTTAGTAAAAAAAATGATGAAACTTTAACATTATTTTTCATTGTTTTAACAATGATTATTATAAAAATACAAAATACAAGTTGAATATAGATGGCGTTGGTTACTCATGTATGAAATTATCGTATCAATTGATTCTGTGGAATTATACCTTCGTTTAAATGTTATTGTAATGTATAGTTCAATCTGAAAATGAAATAATTTAATAAATCCATTTTCATTTCCATTGAAGAAAATGAAAGATTTGTTTTATTGACATTATCACATTGAATTACCTAAAAAATACTTGACATCAACGGTTATTAGTATGAATTGTACAATATTTACAATGATAGTTAAATTATTGAAGCAAATGAATGTTCACGTTATAAATGTATATCAATCTAAAAATGTGTCATATTTTACGATACATTTAAAATGCGTGTTAATCTTTGACACATTATATATATTTTGTCATGCATGAAAGAATAACCTATTTGTTATTAAATTGAATTGAAATGAATCAACTGATCAAAATAAATAAAAAAATATGATATAATACCATTCTATTTCAGTAGATGTCTGGAATTTTATGTTTATATACTATATAATGGTGTCTAACCGATAATTGTTGTTGCCGTTGGGTAATTTTTATCAAATGAATATGTTGCTCAAATACTTCTATAAAGTGTTCTCTTATGATCAATATGAAAATGATACCTCGAGGTGTATGCACATTAAAATATATGTGCATGCATAAATTTTATCAGTCGATTCATCAAACAATCATAATTGTTTTAGTCGATCACAATCGATATACAGCTATTCTTATAGATTTAACAATGAATTATTTACTTTTTCGAACAATACAATCTTTAGAACATAAATTTTAGGCGCAAATTATTTACTCTGTTTTTTAAAATTATTATTCATAGTCTTTTGTTTTGCTAATCTATTATTTATTTTTTGTTTTCTTTGAATGGGCGCTGGTGGTATGTATCCAAATTATCCATATACATATAATAATACAGATTATAATTACCCATATCCAAATAATAATACAGTTTATAATCGCCCATATTATAATCATCATGGTGGACATCCACCACCTGGTTATATGCCATCTCCATCTTATGGTTATCCTCCAACAATTGGTATGAATTATGGAAGAGGTTTTCATCCGCCTTATCCTTCAATGCCTTATGGTCCTATGGTAAATGGTTTTCCGCCAGGTGTATTTCATAATCAAATAGGTGGAAGAGGTTTTTTAAATTCACCTCGTACTATGCCTGTTGGTGTACAATCTATTCCACCAAATGATAATCTTCATGTACATCGAACTATCGAGCATCGACATGATGAACATCGATCACATTTTGATGAGCATTAAAAGAATTGATATCATTTATCATAATCTTTTGTTTTTTTTTCAAAATAGTGTTAATCAAGGAATAAGTAGAAGTAAAAGAAGAATACTAGTAAGAATGATAATATAAAAAAAGAAAGAATGTCGTAGATAATATTAGTACAAATGAGGAAACGCACACAGAATAGATAGTTTGTTGATGGTTGTCTGAATAAGAACACCGGAGATGTATTTCAAAAGAAAAAAAAGAGCTCGGGTAAGAAAGAAAAAGTTATAGCCATTCGATTGTACAATTATGGTTTATTTTTTTGCTGGTCTTGGAACACCATAACCTAAAATAAGAATAGTAAAATAAATATTTTAATTCAAATAATAGCATACCCGCTTGTGGATATTGTGGAGCACCAGCATTTGGATATTGATTAGCACCAGCCATTGGATATTGTGGGGCACCAGCCGTTGGATAAGGAGGAGCCACTACAAAGAGAAACATATTCAAATAAATCAGAAATGTATAATCAAATTGACTTACTTTGATTAAAAAATGGATTATATGGATTATAACTAGCTGGCATAGGAAAGAATGGTTGCATATAAGCACCAGGATAAGGCAATGCTGAACCATCTATTAATCAACAAAAAATTCTTCATAAAATAAACAATTTATTTTTAATATTATTCATACCCGGTACTGTTGGTGGTGCTTGACCACCAGTTACTGGAGCTGATGGTTGCGTTGGATATGGTGGAGCAGTACCATATGGATAAGCTGGTGTTGCTAAAAGAAAAGATAGAAAATCGCCTATTAAACAACCGTTATTCAAATTAAAATAGAATGAATCGGAAAGATTCTATCAGTCGAGCAGCTATCTTAATATCATTAAGTATCCGATATGAAATATCTTAGTCGAATTCAAATTTCCAATCAAAGATAACGAAATTAATTCATTTGTATGTCTAAAATAATTGATTTACATACTTGTTTGTTGTTGTTGTTGTGCTGGTGGTGGTGCTTTTGGAGCATTTCCGCCAACAATACCTCGTTGAATATCTTTCATTAAATCTTCTTTTTCTGTTTTACGTGCGAAGACAAAATCGGATACTTTGTTTTGAAATTTAAGTAATAATGGTGTAAGATCATTATAAAACTACAAAATCAAATAATATTTTAATAAAATCATGTATATATATATAATTGAACAAACCTTTATTCCTTCTCTTAAATTACTTAATAATTCTTGAAAAGCATCATATGCTCGAGCTAAATTTTTCATCATTTCTTCACGTATTTCCGATGATGCATTTCCTTGTTTTTCAGTTTGAAATTGTTGATGTGCACGACGAATATTTTCAACAAGTTGTTCTTGTTTTGAAACACTTTCATTCACTTGTTGTCTTAATGGTGTATAGAGTGATTCAATTTCATGAACAACAACACTATTTTCATCACTATGATTTCCTTGTTGAAAAGCAGCAATTAAACGTGCACGAACACTATCCGAATCTGTATTTTTTAATTCAGATTCAATCACTTCACGTTCAGCTTTTACTCCTGCGACAGTATCCATTAAACGATGTAATTCACGTACTGAATATGCATCACGTAAAGCACCAGCAGCAGATGATGATGGAAGTTCATTGGCAATTTCATGCTAAAGAAAAAAATAAATTAAAACTTAGTTTTTTGTCAGAAGAATCGCTACTATTGTATTTTTTAGCATAACTGAAATATTCTATCTCGATTTTTATACAATGACTAGTCTTTAGAAAAGTAATTTATACCGTTTGTTTACTAAGTAAAGCAGTGCAATCACGATTCATTCGATATTTTTCTTGTACAATTTTATCAGCATTAATAGCATTCTGTATAATATCCATATATTTTTTTGCTTCAGCACGTAATGGAACTGTTAATGTTGATGATACAGTACGAGTCCAACGTCCTTGAAATTGAGTACGTAATTCTGTATCACCTCGTTCTTCATCATCTAACATACGAATAGTCTAGAAGAAATAAATGAAATTTTTTTATTATTAAAAAGATAATAGGAGAAAAAACAAATATCTTATACTTCATCTAAAATTTCTTTATTACGATTTAATGATGTTGGTAATTCATTAACCATTTTTTCTAATGTACTAATTCCACCTTGTCGTTTAATTTCATTTGCTTTTTCAATAAGTGATGGTGGAATTTGACGACCACCACTATCTTCAATTGCAGCTGGTAAATTGAGTGAAGCCAAAAATCTAAATATAAGAATGAAATTCATAGAAAAACAACAAATCAAAATTTTGTTTGATTTATTATTTACGAATTTAACACATTGGTTGCTTCTCGTAAACGATTGACTTCAAGATTCATTATTTCTGCTCGTTTTGAACTAAATGCTGCTAAAGCATTATTTAATGCAATTGGAACAAGTGAAGCAAATAAATCTAAAAATAAATTATATTTAGAAAATTATTTAAAACAAAAAATAGATATTAAATTACCTCGAAAATCATGTGTTAATGGAAATGTAACCGGTAATGGTTTAGCAATTGGTTGTGCTAAAATTGTTTCAAGTGATTTTGAATCTGGTAATCGTTCGTGATAAACAAAATCATTATCTTTGTGTGCTACAGCTGCTGATTTAGCAATTTCATCTTGATTAGCACGAAGTGCTGGTGTAAATGAAGCTGTTGTTGATTTACTAACAGCTTGATCAGCAAGATCTTTTGCACGCTAGATAAAATAAAAATAAATTTCGGTTTTATCAATTATTTATATTTCTCTTACATCGAATCGAACAACAGCAAGACCATATTTTCGATCAACTTGAGCTTGTTTACCTGCATGATATTCAGCTTTTGATTGAAATAATAAATGTTTAACAAACATAACATTAGTAAAATTCTAAAAAATAGACAATAAGTTTCAAAAACTCTTTTTTTGATGTTAAGTAGAGAGAGATATAAGATGAAATGTCATTTTTCACTTTTGATTTACATAGAACGAATTGAAATCTATGACTTATGATATAATGTGAATGGATCTACTCTTTTAATCAGCGAATATATGGGCTATGATAATTTTTATAGGATAGCTGATTAGAAAAAAATAATTGACTTACATCAGGAATGACCTTTTTTGCACTTTCGGTTTTTGCTGATGTATAAGCTTCTTTGTAACAATCAGCTGCATGTGCTGCAACTTTAGCTGCAATATCATCTAAATACCACAACAACAAAAAATATATATAGTCATGTATAAAATAATTTTACTAACCTTTGAGACTAGCTGATTTTACATAAACAAGTTCAGCTGCTTGTCCTAACATTAACCATGAAATACATGCTAAAACTGCTGGTTCGAAATCGATAGATACATCTGATAATGCATTTGCATTAACATAATCTTTTAAAAATGAAAATATGCCTGATGATAATTGAAAATATTTTAATGCCATTTTCATTTGTTCATCTATTGATAAATTTTGTGCTAGTGCTAATTCATTATAAGCATAACCAATATTAAATAATACACATGCTTTTTCAAATGCTAATTTCCATGAACCATTTGTTTTTTGTTTACCACCAAATAAACCACCTCCACCAACAAGTGCATCTTGCCATTTAAAATAGATTCGTATTTGATTTTCTGTTATTGGTAATTTATATTCAATGGCATGTAATTGATCATAATAACTAAATAGAAAACAACAAAACAAGTTTCATAAGAAAAATTGTGATATATATATGTATTCTTAATTACCGTAACAATTTTGAAATATCTTCTTTATAATTACTACGAAGTAATGATTCAGCTCGTAATGAATTTAATCCATCAACAGCTGCTGAATGATCTTCTTTATCACCGAATGTTGCTTTAATAAAATTTTTAATTGGTGTTGATAAAGGTACATCAAAAGCTTTTTTTAGCTGGTATATTTAGAAAATGATGTGGATTTGACATGGATTATGTTTTGTCTTTCTATCTAAAGAAAAACTGTTACTGTATACTATCTTTTCCTAGTTAGTCGATTAATAAATCGAAGAAATGATTCACAAGAATATTAGACTAGTCAAACAATCAATAATGAGTCATGGATATAGTCGACCAATGAGAATTTATTAGATGTTTATTACCGTATAAATATTTTGCACATAAATAAATAATCGTAGATGACTAATCGAGCTTTATCAAATGATTCAGTTGATATAAAGTCGATAATGGAAGATAAGAATTTTGTTTTGTTAGATCTTAAAAGTAAATGTAACTATAATTTAATAAAAAAAAGAAACTTCTCATCAACGATTGAATGTAGAACATTTGAAATTTATCGAACGATTAGTTCTTTTTTCATACTTATATAAGAATTTTTTAACGACATTTAGGTCATAAAAAACTTAATATACAATTATTCATCATATACAAACATCTTCTTTTAAAAGAAATACAACAGTAACGATTAGTAATCGCTATATCAGCCGAACCGACTAGAAGAATATCGGTTGAACCGAATAACTCAGTGTAAATTCGATATTTAAAGACATTCTTTCAATTTAAATAACATTCAAGTTTAAAACAACATATCTTGACACTTTATCTGATGAAAAAAACAAAGTTTAAATAGATAAACTAAGATTGTGTGTATGTGAGTGTCATATGCATTACAAAACCCACATCTATTTACTTTTGTACTGATGTATATTCATTACTACTAATTAGTATAAAATTTCTCATATCATTGAAATATTAAAATTAGGTTAATAAAGACATATTTGAATATATTTTGAACTTAAATATAATTGTGATGCAATCGATAAAAGTAGAGAATAAAAATGTAATCGGTGAAATAAACGTACATTATAGTAAATTTCTTTTCATTTGTATGGTTTTATTATGACAACTTTAAAACTCATCTGAATAAATTTATTTCGAAACTACAACTTTCATAACATGTTACTATTTCAGAAAACAAGTTCATTTTTATGTCGGATCATTAAATCTACGATATTTCTTTCTTATGTATGGTGTAGTATACTTAATATTCATACCTACTTAAATTCAAGGTGAATTATTTTTATTATTGTAACCATCAGTTTTATCCTTGAATAGGTGTTTACGACATTTTGTTTACTTGATTTTAAAAAGTATAAGTATATTTGTTTAAAATTAGAAATAATAAAAAAATAATCATAAACAAATGATTGAAAAAAAAGAAATGAAAAACAATAAAAACTAAAGAATAATATTTGGACGATAACTTAATGAGCTAGTTGTAGTCGTTGTTAAGTCGCTTGAACTTTCTATATTTGATTCAGTAACATATATATTTGAGCTATCTGTAGATTGTGAACTCAATGGTTTATATTCTGGTTTAATATCATTATCTTTAAGAAGTGGTGTTTGTCCAGATGTACTTCTTTTTATTGAAGATGAATTTATTGTTGAAAATTCTTTTTTCAATTTTGGTCGATTTTTATTAAATATTACATAATAGATCATAAATGATATACCGGCAAGAAGAAGACCAATACAAATCCCAAGTATTAACATCCAAATGTTATTCACATTTATTTCTTTATGTACATAAGATTTATTTGAATTATCATTTATAAGACGTTGATATTCACTTGTTGTATTTGAAATGAGTAAAGCTAATGGTGTTGGAATAGTAGTTGTTTGATTTATATGAAGTTCAATATCATCTTCATCATCGACTATAGGTGGTCGAAGATTTGATACTTGAATAATACTTAACCGAAGTGGTAATATTGATCGTTGTGGTGGAGGAAATATAAGTGACATATTTAAACATGGATTAGAATTTTTTAACATACATATATGTAAAATTGGTCTGAGAACATCGGTATATAGAATAACATTTTTATATGTAACAATATCATCATATCCTAATGTTGAACGTGGTCCATATTTATTTGCTAAAATTTCACGTCGATCAAAATTTGTTTGTTCATTAAGATGAATAGTAAGAATTTTTTCTTCTAAACTTACATACATAATTTTAGTTGAAAAATCAATTGTTGCTATACATGGATATGGACGATTATCATAGGATGATGGAATTTTAAATAAAAATATACAATCATTAACACTTAATGAACAACGTATAATTGTACACCAACCATATGAATCACCTATAATATAACCATCAGATGTTATTTGATCGATAATCATATCACTAATACGTAAACTAGGACTAAGTTCACGTAAACGTTTCATAAATGGTGCTGAACCACGTGTACGTGGTTTTTGTAGTAAATCAATTATTTGTATATCTGAATGACCATAAACATAAAGTATTGATGATACATAATGAACATTAAGAAATAATGGCATTTCACTACGAATTGAATTCATAACTGAATGATTTGAAAAATTTGATATCCACCAACCATCCGAATATTGTAAACGATAAACAGTACGTTCATGTGGTGCTGTTAAATAGATATGACCATGATCATCACCAGCTACATCATGAAAACGTGGTACATCTTCTTGGGTTAATAATAAATGAAATGAATCATCACCACCAAATATTATTGGCCACCAAACATAAATGCCTGATAGGGATGTGATTACTACTACAGATGTTATTTGTTCTTTTGTTGAGAATTTCTCATCGTCATCTTCTTCTTCAGTTGATTCGTCATGTGAAGTTTGAAAATGATCACGAGCAGATGTAATTTTATCTCGAAATTTATGAGTTTGTTCACGAATATTTAACGATGTACCATTTTTTGATAATAAAGATTTAGTTTTTATTATGGATGATGTTGTCCATACAAATGTTAAATTAATAATGAGAATAATAATGATGATTAAATAAGAATAATAGCTCATCGAAACGAGATAATATATTAATGTCAATCATCAGCTATAAATAAAAATTAAGATTGATAAAAAAAAAAGAAGAAGTAATATTAGTTGCTAAAGAAAGATATTTGGTTTCTTTTGCCTTTGAGGCATAACACGATTTGATTTTCTTCTAAATCAATCTTATTATATAAGTAATACTATGTATCGATATTACAATACAAATTTATTGTTATGATTAAGCTATGAATAGATCTATATGTAGACTATCATTTTCAATGAAAGTAAATGATGGACAACACGGTAGTTACCTTGATCGACTAGAGAAGTGATTGATGAACATATATAACTATAAGATTAGATGTGATGCGTGAAAAAGAAATAAAAGAAGCCATTTATAGAGAAAGAGAATATATATATATATGAGATGCCCTATCATGGATATACAATGATATTATTACTACTTTTTACTACTCTAAAAGGTGTAAAACGAATAGTCGAGGTATAACGTTATCAATTTGTCTTGAGTGGCAGTGTGTCATTGGTATGACACATGTTGCTAGTTTTCTTCCTGAAAATGTCAAGCTATTATGATCTTCATATTGACTAACAACAGTCACTATGTATAAAGGGATAACTGATGCAACCATCTTACCAGCATCTTATGATAAGCATAAGGGAAATGGCAAAAAGATTTTTTAGATTATTCTAGACGTGCCAGATGATAGTGATATATTCCTGTTGACAAAAAAAACACGTCTGTTTCTTTATACGAACTAATGTGACTGTCATTAATTACAGGATAAGAAATATAGTTGCTTATTTGGAAATCGAATTAACTGATACATGATGATTGTACAAAAAAAATAAGAAAAAAACAGTCTATTACCTATTTATTGTCACCAATAATCCTTCGAAATGAAATCAATTGTTTAGTTATTGTTCTGGTTCATGTGTTAAGACGATTGCAAAGTGTTTGGCTATTCAATTGCGTTTTGTATGATCAGTTGTCAAGATTTCTTTTTTTCGTTTTTCTTACCTTCTGAGCACACTCCCGTCAATTTTGCTTTCTTTTTACACTCGCCTTTCTTTCTTTTTTTTCGTTTGACATTAATGTCTGCATGGCGCAACTTACATACATACGTATATCAAAAGAAAAAAAGGAAGGACACTCTCGTGTGTATATAGTAAAAAGAAACTGCGGTTGCGGTTATTTTGTTGCTTGTTTTCTTCTTTTTCTTTATATACTACACGGTGTTACTGTCGCCGCCTTTGTACGGATATCTTACAACTAGCATAGTATCGTTCTCTTGCTTGTTCTTTATATCGTAATATCCTTGATAATTTCTTCCTCTATCTTCTTCAATATCATACGAAACAATCAACAGCAATAATCATGACATATAAAAAAATTATGATTTTCTTTTTATTACATCATATCTATTAACAGATAAACAAAAGAAATGTGTTCTATACATGAATATATTTCACACCTAAAACGATAAATTGTAAATTTTTTTTTTCTTATGACGTTTTATCAATACTTATGAATTGAACATATGTATTCAAATTTATAATTGTGTTGAAAGAAAGAAGAAAGAAGCTTTTATGTCAAAAAAAAATCGATTCATATTTCGTTGTATCATATATAGAATTTTATGTAATGAAAAATTATTTGTTAGGTGAAAAGAAATTCAAGGTCAAAAAAGTCAACTTGTCTTTTAAGTAGTTTGAAATTGAAATATTAAAATTGATCTTTGATATTTCTTTTTCTAGATGATATTCTGGCTGTTTCTTTGATGACAGAAATTAACTTATGAAAAGAAAAATGTGCGACAGATGTCTAAAATAATGATCAAAAGATTTGTTTTAATCGTTATTCTATGGTCCGTTTGTATTGTATTGTATAGTAAGTCAAATTACGGATTCTTATCTACTTAAAATAATCTTATCGTAGTAACGTATAGAACAATGAGATACAATCTCTATCAAAACTAACATCTATTACACTATGAGTAAAATTGTAAAGAATTGTATATTATTACATCAATATTTACAAAATGTATATCTATCAAATATATGAAGATTATTGAAAATTTCAATACCGTCTGATTCTCTTCATATTTATGTATAATTATTCATCATCTGATTATTCTTTCATTTCAATAGTATCTTTTTGTTTTCTATTGACCTTGAAGAAGAGTATTTCAAATAATAGAAGTATGTATAGAAATGAATGATATACTTAACGATGAATAATCCATATGAATAAGTATCAACAAATTAAAAATATGTTGCACATTGCCTGGATAAAGAATAGTGACCTGAAAGTCCAGGCTCCATTTATTTAATATTAAAACAGAGCTTTACAAAACAGTCCATCAAAAAACGACAATTAGCCTTAGAAATTTAGCTAATTTGCATAATCGTTTCAAAGTCATCGTATAATCAATTTTCGATTAGTAATGTACTACATTCGATTAGCACATAGTATTACTGTATTCGAAGTATCTTTCCATCTGTGTGTATTGTATTTTTTTTTCTGTTCATATATTCGATCGTCACTTTAACCTATAAATACATTCGTTACAGTGTAAAGAAAATATACTATAATTAACACGATTTTCTACGTTAGACGCATTTATCTTCAGACTCGTTTTTTTTGTAAGGGCAACAAATCTCACGTCGATCGAAGGTAATATTGTTGATGAAATACAATCTTACGAAAATCCACTTTCATTACATCTGGATGTATTAAAAAGAAAGATCAAGGTGCAATGCACCACGAGCGATTCAAATGGAGCAATCAAAAGAAAAGTGGTATTTGAATCACAACGTATCAACATTGAAGGTAAAAGAACATCGATGGAAAGAAAAAATTAAGAAATTAAATTTGAAACCATTGAAATTGAAAAGGCACAAAAGCTAATAACATCGAACAAACAATGACATATTAGATGTACAAAAAAATTAATACGAAAATTTGACGAAAGAATACAATCGTTAATATTGATTTTTCAGGAATATTTCTAGTCCAAGGTTTTCATCATATCAAAAATGACGTAATTAATGGTGAGGGCCCCGGTAATTTAAGTAATGTCATGTTTTGGCGCATGATTAACACGAAAGGTTTGATCCTATCAGTCCTACTCAATGGTTTAGGGATCAACACCTACACAACGAGCGATTTATAATCTTCTTAAAGAAAGAATCGAACCAACTGATGATAGAATTACCAAATTTGCAAAACGCGTGATCCAATGAAAATATTTGAGGAATTATAAGAAAAAATATAAAGCAATGATAGATAACTTATCAAAACGTTTTGCGCAAGTGTTACAATTGCATAGAAATCAAGTTTATGAGTGTTGATTGAAAATGGTTGATGTTATAACACTTATGATGAAGAGATATTTTATGATTATAACAACATTTTCAAATAAAATAAAGTTTTATACTTCTTAAACTACGATGATTAATTGTCGTTTTTTGTGACGCATATTTCCAATCATATAACTTTCTTACTATATAAATTAGCAGGAATAGATCATAGTCTGTCTTTTATTGCATCTTTCTATCGCAGAGACAAATTTCCAATGATCTGTTTTAATATTAAAAGAATTGAGTCAAGATTTCTGCACTATCCTTTAAAGACTTGAGGCAAAGATAACGATCAAAATACACTTGAAAAGAATAATCTAATTCTGATTACTTAACAATCAGTCAACAATTAATAAAAATGTCTGTCTATAAGAGATGTAGGGTTTTTCCCCATTTTTTTATCTAATATCAACATTTTTGACTATAATTTAGAATGGTATGACGGCAAATTCCTTGATAAATATTATAACAAATTAAAGCTCAAGAACTATATAGTGCGATTGCTGACGTTATCACAGATAAAGATCAGTTTTAATTACTTATTGTGTAACTTACCCTATCAAAGAAGGAAAATATACAGCTTTTTGTAGCCTACAAAGCTGAACTAAGCATGGAATTCTGTTTAAAATACGCAGGGAACAGTGCTTTTAAACTTATAACCTGATACATTATTCTGACATATATTTATGAATGAGTTCCATCAATAATAATAGCTAACAAAAGAATTTTTAGCAAAATGCTTATCAATATGCATATTTTTATTGCTAAATAGTTCTGCAAATATGCCCGAAGATTTCGAAAGTTGCGGATTACATCTGTTATTTATATACGACCTTAGATGAATAATTCTTATTCTTGAGTCATGATGATTGATTTTAGGGGCAAATTCTTTAATACTGTTTTATTTTTGCCTGGCAACCCACCCTTTAAAAAAAATATGTATTCAGTGATACATAATCTCATTTCTTTCGTATGGTGTAACATTTGTGTTATTTAAAACTTTAGCAAAACAATAATCACATGACATCTTAAAATAGATGATAACATCCACAATTAACTTTCTCTACTCTATCAACAATATGCTATCTATGTATGATTAACTAGTATCATTGATAAAATATTTTCTCTTATGAATTACATATAGATTATTCATGAATGATACTGATCATAACTTAATCGATGTTGAAAATATGTAATTTTTCATTTCTCTAGAAACCTCTATATGGCTTCTATGACGTCATTGTGATTGTTAAAATTTATTCATACAATTTCTAATGTAATACTTTCGTTCTTTTTCTTCTGATACCATTACTATTTCTCATAAATTATACGTAATAAAACGTCATTTTCTTTCATCATTCATTCGAAAATTTAGTCAATTCACATTTTATACAAAGAAATATATGAAAAATTAAATATTTGTCTTTGTAATAATAGATAAACCTTATAACTGGTATATTTGACTTTCTTCGTTATACTAATATTAAAAGAAAAGAAAGTAAAGATTTTCGTGCATACTAATAAACTGTACAATTTTAACTCAATACTTATTTTGATTTTATTGTGTGAAGAAAAATAAGATCAAACCAAGGTTGATAAAAAGATATCTTAATAATATATTTTCTTCTTTTTCTTTCGTCAACAACTCATAAATGTGAAGGACAACTTTTATTGATATTTTTTTCGTTTCGATTTCTTATTTTCTGACAGTCAAGCATGTGATATTCGATAATGATCGGAAGGAATATAAAAAAGACACAAAAATATAGCAGAGAGGGAATGAATAATTTTTATGAGAAAAAAATTATATTTAAACGACACTGGGCAAAAGATAAACTATCGAATCAGCTTGCATGTTTCTGCGTCATATGGGCATACCATGAGTCAATTTTTTTCATAATAGAAGGATAGAGACAAAAGATTGCTCAATAGCACAAAGCAGATTGGCGCAGTGACAGCATGATGAAAATGCGAGAAAGAAAATTCATGACTCAAGGTATTCTCTGATTGTTAACATATGCGCATGTTCGCTATGGGGATGAAATCCAGCATTCATTTATTACGAAGCAAACTGAAGTTTTTTTTAAGGGGTATCAGAAGGGAGAGAGAGAGGGAGAGAGAGAAAAGAAACACAAATATATTTTATAACAATTTTATCCGGAATGAAAAAAAAGAGAGAAGAAAAAAGGGCCTATCATTACTCTTTACCAAAACGGGTATATATAAGCGAAATCAGTGGGTAAAGAAGTATTCATTCAACATTATGATCTTCATCATTTGCCATCTGTAATCGCCGTGTGTCATCGTATTTCGACCGAAGGATTTTCACACGACATTTCTTACATAATATTCAATCAAATCACACATAGCGAGTAGGTTTCATATCCCGCATTCATACTATTTTCATCCTCTGTCTTGTAGTGCAGTGCATTTCACCACAAGGCCAAACAACTCCAGAAAAAACTCTATCGAATCCTTGGTTCGGCAAAGGTTTCTGTGAGCCTGATCAATATAAAGCTGCCATTGAACGCTGTTCAGGCGGATATAAATCATGTGAACTAGGTATTGATTTGTACAAAGATCTTGCTAAGATTCTAGAAAATCATTCAGCGGCTTTACGTCAATGGTCAACAGCAAGTCAAAAACAAATCGTTCATTCAAGTGAATTTGGTACAACTAAAAAATCTTGGTTAAATTCTATACGAGCAATTGAAAAATTAGCTGAAAGCAATGATTTTATCCGTGAAAATGTTCAAAAAACTGTTATTGATAAGATGACATCTTATAAAAATGAAAATTATGGCAAATCATTTCTCCAAGTAAAAAAAATCAAAGAATTCGAAAAAGAATTTAAGAAAGTTCAACGAACATGGCTTGATACACTTGACAAAATTAATGACGCTAAACAATCATTTCATGTTGCTAAACGTAAATTACAAATTGCTCAAAATGCAGAAAACATAATTAAAACTGATGTTGGTTCATCTGATGATCAAACATCAAAAGCAAAATTAAATGTAGAAACTCGTCAAAAAGAAACCGACAGGTGTAAATCGAAATATGAAAATGCAATCAATGAAATGGAGAGAGCAAAACCCGATTATCAAAAACAAATGTTTAGAATACTTGAAAGTACTGATGATTTTGAACGAAAACGACTAAATCATTTTAATTTGACTTTTAACGCTCTTCAACAAGCCGTACTATCTGAAAAAAATAAGTGGCGTGATGAAATAACTGACGCATTTAAAAAAGCAATTGACGGACATAATATTGAAGCTGATATAGCATTTTTTAATACGAACTATGGCAAGGACACTAAAACGATCTGGCCTAAGTTTGAAGATTTGAATTAATAATAATATACTATGTCTAATTGTGCACTTGGCAGATATATCGAGAGTAAAGGTCTTGAAAAAAATTTTAACAAAAAAACGGGGAACAGGTTAGAATCTTTTTTATTGAGATTTCCTCGGTATATGGCCAGGCCTTGTTCTAATGAAGCGTTATGTTTTCGTGTATAATTAAATCATTCATGTTTTTTTACTACCTTTTTTTATGTAATCATAATTCAGAAAAAAAATATATTTTTGTTTTATTTTGCTTTGTTTATTATCCAATAGTTGCCATCAATAAAACTGTAATTTACGAAATTTCATACTTCCGTTTGATTGTATGATTTACCCACAACAATTATGGCATATTGTTATTGAAAAGGGAATTACCATAATATGTATAAAAGTGTTTGTTGGCAAAGAGTCATTATTAATAGGTATAAATGAATTTATAATGGTGTGTCGTTTCGATACTTTCATTCGTACTTTTTATTTTTCCTTTGTTTATTTTTGTTTGCAAAAGAAATATTTACTTTGTGTCGAAGATGTTATTGAAAATTTTTTATTGCATTTCTAAAAATAGACTGTTGAGAAAGAATAACTGTTAATTTCTTCCATTATTCCAACTTAGAAATAACAAAAAATAAGTGTTGACTCATACTCTTGAAAATAATAACAACGTTATTACACAATTTAATTGGATTTTTCAATCTTATATACATAACTTTTGTTAAATTAAAAATGATTTTTCCGAGACTCTTTTTAAGGCTTTATGGAATAAATTTCTCGGAACGAAAAAACAAACGTCTGTATTACGAAATGAAACAGAAATGCAATAACACACGAATAGAATTGATTAAAACAATTCTTTTACGAAATATCACCATGTGTATTGGGTAGAGAATGATAATAAACAGTTATCTAATAAATTGTCCATTTTATTATTTTTATCTACAGTATGGCTATAGAATATAATTCAGTTAATATATATTTATTGTTCACAATAAGGAAGTATAATCAAATCATAACATGACCTAGAAATTTCCCTATCGATTATTAATCAATATTATGTGTCCACTATATTGACTGTCAACATGTAAAAAAAGATCAAATGTTATATGAGAAATATTATTGTCGTTGTCGTCATTCATATTCTTATCATGATTATAAAAAATGAAGACATGAATCTTTACCATTAATACATAAACATGTAGCTATCGGTTTTTTTTTCATATAGTTTCATCAAAGATAAACATTTCTTTTATTTATAGCCATTTGTTTCGACTCAAATTTCTCTATCAGCTGATACTAAATATCAACAATTTGTTGTTCGTGATTGAATTAAATTAGATTTATCAAATAAAAAAAAATTAATTAGACATTATGATAAATTATATAATAATTATCGATAACGATTAATTTTATAATTTGTTCTTCTTCTTTTTTTTCTTTTTTTTTTATAACTAAGTATCAGATATCGACAATAACATGGCGTAATCTTTCTCATTAAATGCTGTTATCTTAATAGGACAGCATGACTTCCGTTTTCACGTCTTTCCATGATTTAAGATATATAGGAAAAAATAATAGCAACTAAAATAAAACAAATGCCTCATGTGTGTATATATACGTTATATTAAATGTGAAAAAAATAGGCAAATAATTGAGGGTAATGGGTAAACAAGCACACATACATTGACAGAGTAGAATTGTTTCTGACCATAAAAAGAAAAAAGAGAAAAAATTATGAGTAGATATAAATTCGTATGATAAAAATCAATAGAATTTAATTTTAAATCTGTAAATTATTGATGTCAAAAAATTGCATATTTATTCTTCTTCTTCACCAGCAGGTGCTGCTGCTGGTGTTGAACTAGCACCACCACCAGGTTGTCTACTAAATTTTGTTTCTAATTGTTTACGATTTCGTTCATGAGGATGAAGTTTGTCCTGATAACAACCTAATAGAAAATATTTCATATATATTAGTTAGGTTATCTATCTTGGCTTACTTCTGCAATAAACATCTTGAGAAAAATCCTTGTAATTAGATAATGTCAAAATGCCATTGCCTAAAATGAATAAGAAAATCATATATATATATATTATAAATAAAGAATGAATTGAAATAATCATACATGTTTTGCATTTAAAGCAACCTTTATGCCATGAAGCACTACATGCAAGAAGTTTTTCTGCTGGATAAACCGTTTTTTTGACAACGTGGGCATACTTCACCACCACCTCCCCATTGTGGCATTGTTTAAATAATTGAAATAAAGAAGATAATAAAAAAAAACTGTAATCTAGAAATAGAATAAAAAAATCATTTCTCTATTTTCATTATAAGATCAATTGACCGATTGATAATAGTTGATAAAAAAAATGATCGGAAACTTATTTCGACTGGTATCTTATAGGCATAAACGCGTCATTTCTATGAGTAGAAAGAAGAAAATGTAGTAGCAACAAGATTATCTCCTATTGCTATTACTTGTACATATGCAATGTTTGAGATCAGTAAAAGAGAGCAAGCGAGAGAAAAAAAAGAAAAATGGAGATGTCTTTTACTAGTCAGCCTTGATGATATGACTGTTATTCGTCGTTGTCGTTTTTCATATACACACACGGAGAGAACCTTTCTTTTTTTTCTCTCTCTTGTTCTGCTTTTTAGTCAGTGGATAAACAAAAAATGTTGCTGTTGGTGTGATGATGATCTATCTTTCTTGGTCTATATCTCATCAGTAGAGTAAAGAATGGATGAAGTAAGCAATAAGCCAACGATATACTGTCAATTTATGACGCGATTTCTGTTTTTCCTTATATTCAATCTATATTGGATCAATAGGAGCAGAAATGATGGTATATATTCGCTATACCAATAACCTAATGAGTTGTTTTCACGCAAGCGTTTGATGATTACTACAAGGATATGTTTGTTTTATAGTGAGTTGAAGAAAGCAAAATGGAGTAAAGACCATTATGTTATTATCATTTTCTTAAGACAAGAAATGACAAGCGACCATTTTTCTGTTGTTGTCGATTAGTTGTACTATACAGATATTACAGACGTATGTTAATTTTGCAAAAAAAAAGAAATTGCTTTGATCGACAAAAGATGGATTACACAATATGAAGCAACAGACAAAAAAAAGAACTTTCTACTCAAAATAAAATTGCTGGTATCAATCATGAATATACGAAAAAAACAAAGAGAAATAGAGAGAAACCATCCTATCAATATTACCAACAACAACAACAACAACAAAAAATGCAAAGATTCGCCTACGTATTAACACTTAGCATATTGACAAAAGATCTCTTCGAAGATGGTCTAGTACGTGTATATATCATGAGAATAACTTTGTAAAGAACTCTCTAATCCAGTTTTTTCTCCCTAGCTATCAATCATAAAAGAAGAAGAAAGAAACTTCTTGATACATATTTCCTCTATTTTGAAAGTATCTTAGACATATACGTGATGGATTAGACAACAACGAAATATTATCTTTATTGTTGTCATCTTTCCGTCCGGTGGGATCATTCCGTATGCACGTATTCTCAATTGTTTCGTTTATTTTTTTTTCTTATGGAAATTCAAAAAAGAAAATTAGTCTTTTATGATTTTTGTCTGTAGCATATTACCAAGTGACATATGTATAAAACAAAATGTTACTTGTATGTGTGCTCTTTTGGAAAAATCTATTGCGTCAATACTTGATATATATACAATGTTTAGAAACAAACAATATAATTGACGATTAGGATGTTATTAAGATATTGACCTTACAAGTTTAAATGATTTTCTACAATATAATCTTTATACTATATTCAAAATAGAGTTCAATTGACAGAGTTACACAGTAAACACTCAAGGAAATGATCCGTTGAGACATTTACAATACTCATTCTAAAAATATAATACTATTTTTCATGCAATCGATTATGTAAAATATTAAACATTATGTCTTATAAATAATTTATGTAATATAATTGCTATGAAGTTGACTTTTTATATATTATTTCTGGAAATCATGGAAAATAATATTCATTATCGATAAATGACATATACCAATTGATCCGAAAAAAGTAGTTCAAGTCATATGTGACCTAGAAGGTTGTCTCTTGGATATATTACCTGTGATATTCAAAAAAAATAATCAATTTTCAAAAATTTTCATCATTCTGTTTATAATTAAAATTGTTAATAATATCCATTCAAGAATGAAACATTTTTAGAGATGTTGTTTCATAAGTGAAAGTTTCTGATGAATGTTATTCAATTTAGAATTGATTAAATAACTTGATAAGAATTCTCTAGTCTAACGAGTATTTTTATGATTGATGATATCTCTAATGTTACTATTATTAGCTTACAACTCTATTCTATCTTCTGTTTTTGTAAGGATCGTTTCAGACTAAAATAACTACTTCCATCAATAGATGACATAATAATATGCACGATTAATCGATAGGTTAATCTTTGGATCACTTGAAATTGAATCAACATTGAGTAAAAATTATACATATTGAAATAATCGATTTGATTAAAATAGGTTATAGAGCTTCGTTTTCAATAGAAAAAAAAATTAGTCATAGTATTGTGTAATGCTTTAGTGTTGTATTCTCGATAGAAAAAAAATTCTTAGTCACTATTGCTTGATATCTGACGGTTATTATTTAACTATTTATTAAATGCCAAACATGCTGTTGCTTAGTGATCAATGAAAATGATGTTTTGTTATTGATGTCGTATGTACGTAACCGAATAATTTTGTTGTCGCATGTTTTGGTGTAATATTAATAGGAGCAGTATTTTTATTATTATTTTCCTCATTTTGTCTTGTTTTCAACTAAAACCATTCTGATGAGATCAATCATTTTCTTTTTCTATCAACAAGTTGTCATGCTTTTTAATTATTGAAAATGTACGATTTGAATAAAATACAAAAAAAAGAAGGGAGGAGAAAGAGAAGAAAAAAAATTTGCCGATTGATGGCGCTTTTTGTTAACCCTGAAGCGAGTGAATAAGTAAAGTGACTTTCATTCTGTTGTCGTTACAACAAAAAAACACATACAAAAGTAGTAATACGATGATGGTGACCAAACGAAATTTGATGCTGTGAAATTGAAAGTAAAAAAACAGCAACGAAAAACGATCGTAAATATACATATATATATATTCATATATTTAGGATATACATATCAATATTACCGTTAATAACAACAATACAATAACATGGTTCATTACCGTAAACATATTATTGATCCTGAAACTGGTTTATGTGAAATTTGTCATCGTGGTCTTATATATGAACGAAAAAAAGGAAAAAAAGTAGGAAAACAATTCTTATATACAAATCAAGATGGAAAATTTCAATATCGTCCAAGTCATCCTCAAAATAATGAAGTGACACCACGTCCTGCTCGTAAAACTGTTCCTGCTAAAACTGTTCCTGCTAAACCAGCAACTACACCACGATCACGTTCATATAATAAACCAATACGTACTGATAATGAAGTAACACCACGTCCTGTTCGTAAATCTGTTCCTGTTAAACCAGTAATAACTCCACGACCACGTCCTGTCGTTCATGAAGAACCAGTAGTCGTTCCACAAAGAACTGCTCGACGTTCTTATTCACCACCAATTAATATTCAATTACCTCCAGTTCGTGCACCTACACTGTATCATGTTGATGATCCAATTCCAGCAGTTTATCGAAAAGAACCTGTAAGACAAACTCCTCGTCAAGTACCAGTTGATACTCATCCGGCTCCTACTCGTGCAACTCCACGACAACCTGTCGAAGAATCACCAAGACGTACTGTCACTCAAAATCCTCGTACATTACAAAATGATGTTCAGTATCCTACTAATACTGCACCAACACTATATCATATGAATGGTGGTACAGCACCTACTCCTCAAACAGTTTATCAAAAAGCACCTCCTCAAACAACTTATCAAAAAGAAATTGTTAATGCTGGTGCACCAA